TTTTACGAATATTATTACTTGATGATTTGGTATTATAATCGGAAAATCCAAAATCTTCTTCACTGGCATCATCGAATTCATTAAGGCTACGAGCAGATCGAGTATTAAAACAAATCTCCCGGGCAGCATAAAATCTTCTTGCCGCAGATTGAACAGGACTGACAGTAGTTGTGGCTTCTTCAAGATCCGTTACATTGGCCGTAAGGACTTGAAGTAAAAAGACACCGGTCAAACCTTCGACAACACCCGCTGCAAATCCAGCACCAGCAGCTAAGCCATTTGTGATTGTCTTACCCTCGGGAATGACATCCAAGTTACGGCTTTCTCCCAGTATTTTATATACATCCGGTGCAGAGAGGGGAAGTAATTTGAATTGTTTTCCTGGAAACGAAAAATGCAAACTTGGGGAATGATGGGAATTTAAAATAATTTTATTTTTCATTTTTAAATACCTTGATTATGTGGAACTGCGGTAGCAGCCATAAATGCCATCACAATTAGAAAACATTTTATTGTCGATTGATTGTTTATTTTATTGCTGCGCAGCATTGTTGTGGCTTTCGAATGCTGATTTATTTATCGACCATTTGATGTTTTGTTTATCCACAACTGTCACAATGACACTGAACCCCTACATTCGCGGTTACCATGATTTTATTTATAACTTCTTTTTCGCGTGTATTTTCGTTTGCCTTTGTAACAGTAAATTTTTATTTTATTTCCTAAAGCATCAACCTCTAACCCCTCAATGTGATTTTATTTGTGATTATCTTGCCATATATTGTCGTGATAAAGAAAGACACGCAAAATTTTATTGTTATCTGGGGAAGAGTTGTTTTGAAAAGGTTAAGCTTCTTATAGCTTTCTTCAGTTAACCAATTAGATGGGTCGGTAACCAGTCACATCAGATATTAGCATTCATTATTTATTCTCACATTCGATGGGAGGCTCGGATATTTTTTAGCATTTTCTCTTTCCATCTACGCAATTAAAAAAACAAATATTTTTAAAATATTCCCTCCTATATGGAGGTTTTATTATCAATATCTAAAAAATCAACGCATATTTGGAGATATTCTAAACAATATTTTTTTAAAATCCAAGCTTATTTAGAGGCCTTTAAAATAATATTTAAAATCCAAGCCTATGTAGAGGCCTTTAAAAAATATTTAAAAAATCCACGCCTGGTTAGCTATAACAACTATTCTATAACAGTTGTCCTTGTGGGTCCATAAACATGCTTCAATATTACCAATTATTCAAAATTTAAAAAAAAAAATTTGCTGCAATGGTGTCAAATTACATATTACACAATCTTCCACTGAATCCCCATTACAACTCTACAAATAACCCCCACAAACAATGAGACGGGCAGGTGTATGTCTAGCTCATCTCATCAAAATTATTGCAATTTTAATGAACGAATGAAAAATTATTCAATTTGTACTAATTATTCCTCCTCCCACCCAAGTTCTCCATAAAGCTCAACAAAGTGTCATCAAAAACTAATTTAATGCCGAAATGCTGTCCTTCTTATGTAGGTGTTTTCTGGGGACCTTAACAGCTTTGCCTTCTTTTGCGAAAGTTTTCTTTGACATAACGTAACGACAACAACAACAACGACAGCAATGAAGTTGTAGTCATCTCAATCTCTTTATTGTCGTTTAGGATTTCAAAGAAAAATGTAAATAATTTCCTATTCCGAAAGTACTATTTAGTCTTTGTTAGCTTTCCTTTGGCAAGCCGAGAACGTCAACGTCAACACCCCGGCATCATCACTCTCAGATCCTGTAGTATCCTTTTTTTTGCGCATCTAACCAAAACGAAAATTGCTGGAATATAAAGTGAAACAAACAGCACCTGACTGCCGGTGTGTCTGTCTGTCAGTTAGAGTTTCTGTTGTTGTTTTTTTTTTATGGTAAAATGTAAATAATTATGCTAATGAGCTCTCAGTCTCTGTCTGCTCTTAAAAATGGAGAATCAACCAATTGTCGTTAGAGGGGCGTGGGGGGGGGGACAACGGGGGGTTGTATTGATGCTTTGGCCCTGACTGATGTTTTCTTCTTCATACCTTGATGTTGCTGTTTTCTGCTAATGACGTGATCTGGGTTTTTGGTAATGATATTGTTGTTGTTGTTTGCTTTGTTTGTTTATTTTCTGTATACTCTTGCTGTTGTTGACGATGATACAATACAACACAACAAATCACATCGTCATTATCATCATTATCTTTTTACATCATTATTAAGTGTAAAACACAGTTTGACATAAGCTACTCTCTCTCTTAATGACTTCTCTTGAAGTTTGTTTTTCTGTTACTGGCTGTGTTGCTTGTCTCAGATATTCATTTGCAATGCACTGGTTGTCTTCGAACAAAACAAATTTTAAACTGACAGCAGCAGCAACAGTAACAACAACAAGAATCCGAAACACACTAATATGACCCCAAAGCATTTGGCATCACAGACATGCTGGGCGCGTTAGGTAGCTACCCAACTAGGTAGGTTATTCATTAACATTTGAACTTGTGAACCGGTCTTAAATTAGATGCGTGTAAAGTCATCACATAACGGTAGCTTCTTGTATTTTATGTGTGATTTGCTTTGTCATTTTTGTAATAATTATTTTTTTCGATTTTTAAATATAGATATATATTTGTGTTAAAAACAAATGACTAGAAGAAAGTTTTTAAGGTTTTTTTTTTTTTGCAAAATACCTTATTTGTTAATTTATTTTCTTGAAAAAAAGTGAAAGTGTTTTTTTTTTTTGGAAATGAATGAAATTTTGTAGCTATGTGGAATTATTAAATAACCTATTATGGAATGTGTTTGTTGGGTTTATAATTATGCAAACCTGTTGGGCAAAATTAATTTCAATATATAAAACTGAGATTGCGTTACAGTTCTGAACATTGCCATTGTTTGGCCCTTGAAGATGTAACGCCCCTTTTAGAAGGATATGTGTAAACTCTTCATCTAAAAGAAAGGAAATCACAGGCCCGAAGGATAACAAACAACATCTCGAGTAATTTACCGGTTATAGAAACTTATATATTACTCATGGCTATGTCCATTTCGCCATGTCCTTTTGTCTGTTGAAATCACGATAGCGCTTACAAAATTTTTGATAAAGTTTTGAAATGTACATACATTGCTACTTCTTTTTTATTTCGCATTTTCTACCGAAGAGGATGCCTTTTTACCGCCTAGAGGATAAGAAATGTATTTCTAGAAAAAAAAGATCTGTATAGGTCCGCATTTTTGATAAAATAAAAATCCCGCCCAATCATAGGTATGATGCTCCTAAATTAACTTTTCAAACCAAGTAGCTGTACTTGGCATTCCGAGTTCATGGATGTAAACAAACTTCTGCTCAGAAATTTTTCAATATGGTTAACTTTTTTACATAGTCCCTATATCAAATTCACAAACCATAACCCATATGTGAGTGGCATACAAATTATCTGTGTAGTCATATTTTAACATAGCCCTCATATAACAAACGGCAACGGCTTATCGGACTTTGTCTTAACTGTCCTCCTATTGAATGTCGCAAATGTGATAGAAGTAATTATAACAGGTCGATTGAAAAGTCCCCAAACTACCATAGGAAACAAATTATTTGACATAATTAATTTTTTAATTCAACGTAAGGTTGATACACTGAGCCACATGATTTTAGGAAATGAACAAATTCATTTGAGATGAAATTTTTCGAGTTAATGGATATAGTATTACCTTGGGAGGGTATATGTCATGTAAAACCATAAAAAAACAGTTTTCGGTCCATTTCATCACCGAAATATCCTGGACCATAACCGGAACCTCAGGCAAAATTCCCTCTACATTTCCGTCTTCTAGTGTGGTAATGATAATACTGAACAATATCATGTGGGTAGGCTCCTGTAAATATTTACCTATAACTCATACATCTGAGTACATACAGAAATATAATTGGTATCAATGTAAAGGTCAAGTGCTGTTCTTGGATATAATGTCATCTTCCCCGGTCTATTGCCCTCAGGAGTAAATATATACTCAATGAAATGCAAATTTTGTTATTTTCACACAAAAGTCTTTGCCCGCTTGATCTGCTAATATTGACCGATCATAATGAAAATAGTCATGCTTATGCTTTTAAAATTTCGTCGTGTTCGGGTCATTATTGTGGCATCTAGAGCGACCAGAAAAACAGACCAAAGTAAGTCTTTTGGTCCATTTGATCCCCTAAATATCATAGTAAATTCGTTATAGCTTTCGAATGTATACCAAAGGAAAACCAAGGTAGTTTCTGACTTCCACGAGTCGCCCTGATGGTCCCATGTTGTCTGGGGCCACAAACATTTGCAGAGGCGATGGGGAACACCTAAATAAGCTTAACCCATTTGAAAGCTATAAAGAATATACTATGATTGTTTTAGATAGTTTATCATTTAAGAATGGATTTAAATATATATTATTTTAAAGTATATATAATTTCGAGTTCCTAAATCTAGATCAGATCCGTATAAACTAATTTAAAACAAAAAACCTCATGATAGTCCAATTTTTTAATGAATTACAGAGCTATCTTTGGATAGTTTTTGGATAATTTTTTGGTTATTGACCATAGGGTTAATATCCATAAAATCCATAAAAGGTAACTTTTGATTCAACTGTCTTTTTCGATAGAAATCTACCAAGGCATCTTTGAACCAAACAACACCAAATGCCACACGATGAGGATAAAGAGGCTCCTCACCAATCCGATCTCATGGATTTTCCAAGCCCGATAATTTTGCTGTGGACGTAGTAGCCGCGGTGTAAAATGGGTATCATTTTATTGGTTTAATGAAAATGAATTTCATTAAACCAATATTGAAGTCTTTAGCTATTAAATATTTTACCACCTTAGAAAAACAAGTTATCGCAAGGATTATACATTTTTTATTGTACGTATTTCAAATCGAATAAATAAATATTATAAATATAAATATGTATCTAACAATATACACAACGCCTCTACTTAAAGCTCATAACACGCCTTTTCAATTTTCCATTAAAAGAACGACGTTTGCGACGTCTACTTGAGGGTTTTTCCAAAACAATGCACGTTGTGGAACTGGGTTCAGTAGTTGTGGTGCCAGTGGATGTTGTCACTGTGGGACTTGTATTTGATATCGTTCCCGTTCCGGTACCAACAGAAGTACCACTTCCTGTTGTAGTAGGTGTGGCCGTTCCCGTACCAGCAGTTCCTGTCGCCGTCGCTGTTGCAGTAGCTGTGCCTGCTGCAGTTCCAGTAGTTGTAGGAGTTGTAGTAGCTGTTTGTCTACCTTGTGCCTCACCCACACTATCAGCACTACGAGTTTGGAAACAAATCTCCTGCGTTATATACGAATTACCAGATGGTGCAGTGGTACCCGTTTTTGAGAACAATGTCGTAATATTTATATTGGGCAGTAATGCTGTATAATCAATTGCACTCAGATTGACAGTGGGTAGTAGGGAAGCATAATCGATACCGGTTAAATTAATTTTCGGCACTAATGTAGAATAATCAATGCCACTTAAATCGATGGTGGGTAATGTCACATTCGGCAATAGCGAATATAAATCGACATTGGGAATGTGGGCAGTTAGATTGAGATTATTTAGGAATTCACTGGTGGCATTTGAGGTCACCAATAAGGTGCCACCAACACCTTTAATTAGGCCCAATGTAAAACCACTTGCCGCTGATATTCCTTGGGTAACTGATTTAGCTTGGCTGGCAGCACGGCCTTCGGGCTCAGCATCTGCACGGGCAGCTGACTTTAGAACGGCATAAACTTCTTTGGCGGACAAGGGGCGTAAAACAATTTTTCGTGCTGAAAAAACGGAAATTATGTATCATTAAAAGATCGTTTAAAATATTAATTATACCCACATTCCACAGCATTTTGTGTTAAAATTAAAGTTATTACTAAAATTATACAATTGAAACACCACCACTTAGAAAACATTGCAAATAATCCACTTTTATCTCTATCACCCGTTAATGATTGTCTCCGAAACTGAAACTTGTCAATGGTCAACTGGCGCTTTTATTGGCAATTTTCAAGTCCCTCGGGCACATAATTTTCTATTAATATTTAATGTCATATCATAGTTAAAATGTTTACGCCTAAGGCATAAATTTATTCTTCGAAGAAAGTGTTGCTATTTACCAAGAAAAACATAAGCAATAACAACAACAACAAAGACAAAGAGTATATGTTTTACATGTCTATAAAATGATTTACATTAAACAGGTTTGATAATGTTTATATTAGTATTCTGGAATTTTTTGTAGACACAATCAAATTAGTTTAATAGGCATAGTTTAAAGAGGCTTAAAGTCCAACCCCTTTCCATTTCAAATGTAGTTATAATTTGGCAAAGCCGAAGCGTTTGTGCCCTATATATTATCTCCCACAGATATTTTGCAATTGAAGATATATCTCACGACAGAGATCATCTACAGATCATCTATCTCGGCAAGTGTGTAATAGACATGCGACTTTCTAAAGTTATTTTATGGGCAGAATATGTTCAACAAATTGTCTACAGACAAATTTTTATATACACATGAAATTAGAAATGGGATTAAATATTTTGTATACTCATAGGTAAAAATCCGTCTACATGTATTCTATACAGACAAAACCTCCATAGGGTTCAGAAACAAAGAATATGAAATATGTATTGTAAAAGACTTTTCAAAAGTATTCTTTAAATCGACGACATTTTTCTAAGGCCATAACATCTACTAAAAATCTAATATATACCCTCCGGTCTCGAAAGGTCTTCCATAGATATGAAACCAATAAAGGTTTTCGATAAACAAGTCTTTTTGTGATACATACAATATATCATGTATCAACAGATATTCTATAACCAGCAGAGCTTTTACAGACTTCTACAGACTGAATTCCATTTTTATAGGTTATACAAGGCGTGGATTTTTTAAAAATATTTGTTCAAGGGCTATACATGGCCTGGTGTTTTTTTTTTTTTAATTTTCTCAATGATTATACAAGACGTGGATTTTTTAAGAATGTTTTTTTCAAGGCTAATACAAGGACCAATACAAGCGAGAGTTTATTAAGAAATTTATTGTCAATGAACAAAACAGCCAGAAATTTCTAAAAGAATATTTGAAAGTGAAAAATACAAGCGGTCCCTTTTAAAAATTTCTTCAGAGTTCTATAACGAAGACTACCTATATATCCTCTCAATCTCAGTGGATTTGAGATTATCGGATATATATATATATATATATATATTTCATAATGATGAGTCTGCGAGCACGTTTTCAGTATCATAACCCTTCCATGAAACCTTATCTTTCACGTGGCCCCTGTTGGAAGTAAATGTTGTCCAGATCAGTACCATCTATACCATCTAATTATTGATCCAACCTCATTTTCGAAATAAGCTAAAAAGCTTCTACATGTATTTTGGAGACAAAGAACCTTATTTGGAGAGAATATGCACTTTATAGCAAGTCTGCTAACGTAAACAAAGTTTCAGAGAAGAGGAGTTCCAGAGAACAGGAGTTCAGAGAACAGGAGTAAATACGTAATTTCATATGTTTTTCATAGATAGGATAAATTTGACCAGTGCCTCCTGCTCCTCAAAAATTAACATACTTTGTAGCACAGTGTAACCTAAAAAAATGCAAAGTAAAATATCTCTCTATCATATTTAGATATTTTTATTTAGAATAGTTTAAATATCACATGACAGCTGATAAGAATATTTCTTTATTAATATTTATAAATGTAACACTTTGCCAATTTTTTGCAAAATTTACGAATATAAATAACCTCATCGCCATTCAGTTGTTCACAACTGTCATCTATTTTGATAATATTGCCGCAAACATAAAGAAAGGGTTAACGCGTTTTCAATGGAACCCCAAAGCTACTACTTTCTTCACAGAGCAGCACAGCGATTCATTCACATACAAACTATTGGTAGCATCATCAGCATCGTCAATAGAAAACGTGGTAAATGAATGTTGACCTCTTCATTGTTGTTGCCCGCCATCTCTCACCTTTAAACTAACCGAGTTAATATAAGCGGCAGATATTTAGGTTTATCTTTCAGTTACCTAATTTGAGCTGTGGACTTTGTTAGTCTTGTGATTTTTTTGCGTGTGCAAATTTTTTTCAAAACTAGTAGAAAAAAAACGGGAAAAATTTGAAAAACAATATTAGTATGCAATTAAACTACTCTTCAAAATTGGCTTTTATAGCCACAATTTTGTTTTGTTGTGGAACAATTATAACAGAAGGTAATTTCAATGTGAAGTGCCATGGGGGACTATTACTAATAATCGTTTTATATACCCAACCCAGCCCGTCGTGTCACTTTACGCCCCCTAAAACCCGATGAAGTCTATAGGATACTGAAAGAAGCCGGTCGGGAAGATGCCATTCCTGAAGGTCGCGTTGTTACCCAAGCTATATCAGCCATCTCAGGTTTTGGTGTCGGCGTTGCTAGCGGTGTTGGTGGTGCCATTATCTATGATTTGATAACACAACCCAATGAAACGATGGCATGGTTAAATGGTCTCTTTGGTATGAATGGTGGAAGCTCGTCAGGTTCATCACAAACTCCTTCAACACAAGAAATTTGTTTCAAGACGCGTAGCATGGATTATGGCGATGATGAAAATATAGCAGGAAGACAAATGGCAACAACATCTCCTACGTCAAGCTCTCCTACTGGAACAAGCCCTACTGCAATGTCTCCTACTGGAACGTCACCCACGACAATGCCAACAACAGATGTTGGTAGTGACACCACATGCATTGTCGTGCAAAAAGGTGGCGCTAGACATCGCAAAAGACGTGAAGCGATCCTGCAACAACTTGAAGAGAGATACAAAGATTTGATTTAAAAATTGTTACGGAATCGGATTTGAATATATGTTGGAAAATATTAAATATAAGAAAAAGAAGTGAAGTGTAATTAAGTTGTTTATTATTATTGTATGTGATCAGGAATATCAAACATGCTGGAGGAACTAGACTAGGTCTTCCATGAACTAACGAACTTCCAAAGAACTTTTGCCGACAGAATATATATAGAAGGGCTGGTTTTCTACACATAGAAGCCCTTCCATTAATCTTCTGTAAATATAATACTTTAGCTGGTATTATATAGATGGAAAATATACAAAAAGTCTGCTATAAAAAATCCTTCCATTAGTTTTAAGAAGATATTATCCTCATATTCTTTACACATAAGACATTCCTTAGATGTCTTATTCAGAAGATGTAAGTTCTTTCGAGGGTTTTCTGTATACATTGAATTTCAATCGAAAACTTTTTACATAGTTGAAAGTACTTTTTCATACTCTTTCTATATCTGTTTTTATTTGCATCCGTATTACCCATCCCCCACCTCAGAAACAATCAAACTGCCACATATGAAGTGACACAAAATTTGATTTAATTTTTCAATTCTCTTTCCGACTTCAATACTAGACTTCAATATTTGATAAGAAAGCACAAAGCACAGGATAAATAAACACAAATACAGAAACTAGATAGATGGACAGACAGGCATAGACATTGATAGATTTCTCATATGCATGAATAAATTTGTTATTGACACCCATGACACCCCATACACTCTTACAATTTACCACCTTCCTTCTTTCGACCCGCCGCCCGACTTGCATATAAAATGTATGGACTCAGGGTGATGGCCACATACTCAAAGAGTAAATAAATGTTTGTAGAGACTGTGTTGTTCATATCGTAGAGCACATGTGTGTGTGGGTGTCTGTATAGGTGAATAACTAATAATCCTCCATATCATCCTTCTTCTTGCTCTACTTCCTCTTTGGTATATAGCCTGATTATTTGCACACAAAAATCATATTTATCCAATCTATATAAATAACAAATGGAAATGTAACTGACTTAGACAGGCAGCTCAATGGGCTACTAAATAAAGCTATTCTCATACCCCCTCGTCGATATATGACACAAAGAATTTGGTCATAGATGTAGCAACGGATATAGGCAGGTGGTATGTCGTCTAATCAAATATGATGTGCTATGCTATTGCCAAAAGTCAATTCTGGTTATTATGCAGGATATCCTGTCCGAGTAATGCAAGAATGACACCCAATGTGTTGGATTGTGTACATTCACATCCGGTCTAATCAAAGATTTAGTTACCCAAACCAGGACTACAAATGATAAACATTTGGATATCAGACAGATGACTTGCAAATGGGATGAAATAGTCTTATGAATTTATAATTGATTAAATTGATTTGCTGGCTAATCAGTAATACGTTTTAGGGAATTATGTATAGAGTTCATAGGAAAATTTACTAAAAACTTGATAAATTGATATTAAGATTTTTGAAGAAAACATTCTGTAGAGAAATACTCTACTCCAATGCCACATTCTCACAATGATAAAACAATAATAAAAACCAGCATTTCTCTAAACAAATGTAACAAACCCTATCTACGGTGAAAAAAATCGATTCTCTAACGACATTCCCCATAAATTTCCCCTTAAATGTGTCTTTCATATCCGCCCCCCCCAAAACATACGAATGCAGTTTCAATTTCATTTCCCATCAATTGTCAATATCTCCATCATATCAGCCACTTCCATCTTCATCAGTACCGCCATAAACATCACATTTCGATTAAGTTATGTTCACGACAATTCTCATTGTCTGTCCCCTGACATAAAGTTGGCTTCTTGATTTTTATCAACAAATTCACACCCTCTGAATGGTCATTTTGAGACAAAGTTGAAAGAGCGGCATCAAGAAAAGGAAATTTATTTTGTTGCTCTTGTTGGAGATCTAAAGCTAATAACGACCAAATAAACCAAGTAAAAGATAAGGCCAGACAACGGGATAACATTATCTGTCAAAAGGCTTTCTAATTGATTCAAATAACTTTAAGAATTGGGAAAGCACAGACAAAGACTTCATTGTTTTTTAGGCTTTGAATGAAAAACAATTTTAAAAAAATCCACAAAGCGCCTTAAAATATTTTTTATACCCTACACAACTATGTTGTCAGGGTTTTATAGCTTTGTACAGCCCCAAGAGTTTGTAACGCCACGAAATATTGGTCCTAGACCCACCTTTAAGTATACCGATCGTCATATCTCGACTAGCTGAGTCGATCTAGACATGTGTGTCCGTCCGTCCGTCTGTCCATTATAATTTGTAAACACGATACAAGCCACAGTTATGGACCAATCTTCACGAAATTTGGGTTCGGCCCAATGAAGACCCCTATCGTTTTTGTTAAAGATCGGTTAATATTTAGGGGCTGAAATGAACCAAATACTGAATTTTTGTCCGTTTTTCTGGTCGCTCCAGAGGCCGCAATTATTGCGCAAACATCACGAATTTTTACATGGAGAAGGGGATTGGGCCAAAGAATAAGCATGCCTGCTTTGATAAAGATCGGTCAATATTTAGAAGGTCAAATAGACCCTGACTTTTGTGTGAAAAATGAAAAAATTGTATTCTTTAGCATATATATTTACTCCTGAAGGACATAGAGCCGATAACTTAAAAGTATATCCAAGAGGAGTGTTTGGCCTTTAAATTGATACCAATTATATTGTCGTATGTACTCGGATGTGGGAGTTACACGTAAATATTTACAGGTGCTTACGTATTAATATATTATTAAGTAGCCCATTACCACACTAGGTTCCATGAAATGTTCCATGAGGTTCCAGTTATGGTCAAGTTCAACTCCTATAATTTTCGGTGATGATAATAATTTTGGGATGAAGTGGACCAAAAAATTATTTGTTGGTGATTTTTCGAGTCGGTCTATAGGCCACATTGAAAGCCGAACATCACAACACAACCCACGCTGAAACGAATCAGGAAAAGAAATTAGAAGTGCTGTACTGAATATTACTAATATTTTTTGACCTCTAGTCGGTCAAGAGGATAAAAATATAGCAAAATATTGCCCAAGCTCAGAATATAGAACCACACAAAGTAAGATTTTCGTGAAAGTTGTATAGGGTATCATATGGTCGGCCCCGTCCGACTTTACTGCTCCGCTCTCTAGTTTTAAATTATATATATTTTTAAGTTTTTTTTGCCAATTTTTAGCTCTATAAAATTTTGTTTGTCAAAATGCATACAGCATTCAGTGACTTGAAAAATTAAATTAAAAGTTATATAAATTTTAGTTAATGTTTATATATATATATATATTTATATATATGCAGCATACGAATCTATTGATTTTCCACATGAATAACAATAGACTTTCACAATATGAATATATTTAACAATTACGACACGGAACGGAAATTACATAAATGTGAGTTAATGCAACGAAGCAATACAAGGCAAAATGTTAATATCTTATAATAATGTTTATTCATAACCAGAAGCATGAATATCCATATATTTAAGAACATGGCAAATGTATTTCAACGAAACATTCAAATTCCATGAATATACCTTAATTATAGATTCCTAAATTGATGCTATTCATGATAAGCAATTCAAAAGATGAAGGACACATCAATATGTACATCACATGTAATGATTATTTAAATTCTATTTATTTCTATTTTCCCCAGAATTGTATTTTATTTAAAAACCAACATCCATTCAACACACAAAGGCCATTGATGATTACCTTGTGTTGCTATTTCAAAGGATTACTTATATAAATGTCACTTTTGCACCAATGCACTGCAAGGGGGAAATTCTACAATTTGTTTTTCAATTTATCCTTTTGCATCAATTGACGGCAACAATGGCCCAACATACTCAGCTGTGTGTGAGTATATGTCCTCTGTTATCCTTATCGTCTATTTAATGTCATATCTACGCTCTACGACTTTGAGGAAAAAGTGTTGATCTAATTTTATATCTCTGTAATCCCATAAAATGTCTGCAACAAAAGTCAAAATGTGAATGTCAATAGAAAAAATACGTTTTTTTTCTTCTTCTACTTTTCAGTGTATTGTAGTTTTTGCTGCTGTTGTATTTTAAAGGTCGCATATATACCCAACCATACCCAATCACTTGACATTGAAAAAATGAAAAGGTAGTGTTTGGGGAATACCTATTCATTGAATTCTTAAAAAAATACAATTCTATTGAAAAGCAGAATAGCTCGGAAGTCAAAAAATAAAATATTTTATAAAAAATTGCAACTTTGTGTAGTTATAAATTCTAGGGAATAAAAGAGTATGGGGAAAAGGTTTTTTTCAATACACTCGAAAAAAATTAAGAGAAAACATGTCTTCAATCAAATCGAATGAGGAACGTTTTTGTAAAGAAGAAGAAAAACACTAAATTGAATACCACAAGACGAGATTTCTAAAAAAAGTTTCACATACCATTATAGATAAGAGTATGGCCCTCAAAAATACACTAAATCGATATTTGTATATTTTATTCCTTTTACTCCTCCTTACTCATTTTAAATTCCCTTTATTGATTTGAACCACTGAATATTGACCGATCATTATAAAAACAGGGTTCTATTTGTGGCTCTAGAACGACTATAAACCCAGACAAAAGTTTTCGGTCCATTTTATCATCTGAAAACCTCAATCAGAAGTACCTAACGCTTAACTTACGCCTTCTAGAGCGGCAATGATAATAGCAAAGAATATAAAAATAGGTTGATCTCTGTAAGAATTATCTTACAACTCCCATATCCGCGGACATGCACCAACATAATTCGTATAATTTTAAAGGTCAGCCACTCCTCTTCGATATACTATCAACTTCTCGGGTCTATGTCCTTCAGCAGTAAATATATATGACATAGAATAGAAATTTGGTAATTTTTCACATAAAAGTCAGGTTCAATTTAACCCACTAAATATTGCCCGATTTTTGTGTGTAAAATTTCATGATGGTCG